TCTTATATAAGTGGAAGCACAGGAGTGCAACACTAGATCTGGGTACAATAAAATGCAGCTCATTGGACTGGCCATAACTTACACAATCCAAAAATTAAATCTCTGAGTGGGGAATGGATGCCTCTTGTGAGGTCTAGGTGGCGGCATGCACATGACTGTTAAGGCTACGCTGTTTGTAAAAGGCAGGTGTTGTAGCCTTAACACTTCCAAAAGGCACCAGGTTGGGAAAACTTGCTGTGGATTACCCTGGAAGGACTATGCTGATTATAGACAAGGACTGATCTGCCACAACAATATGAGAGACCCAAATAAGAAAAAAGTCCATGTTGTTAATTTGAGATTACCATGTTGTGAAAGTATTTTTTTTATTTTAGTGGTGCAGTTAATAAAGCCCATAAATGAATATACTCTGCATGTTAAGACTTCTGCAGTCCTACCACATGTCTGAATTCTGAATTGTAATCTATATTGATTTAATGGTTTCATCATGGAAGTTTTATAATAAGGCTGAAAAAAATGCTTTGTTTTGACAAAGTCAATAATCTCTCTCTCTCTCACTCTGTCACACATACCTTTCCCAAGGGTCCTAATTTAATTGTGGCACTCTCCATGCATTGTTATGCATACTACTGAGCTCTAGCTGAAAGTGAAACTGTATTTCTGGAAGCAGCATGTATGACAGAAGCTGAACAAAGGGACAAGGACACATTAATATATGAGGCACCACCACTGGGTGCTGGCCAGGGATGGCCCAATTGTGGTCCTGCAGGCTGAGAACCTTAGAGTTATATGTAAATGACCTCTTGAAATGATCCACCTTATTTGCAGGCAGAGAAAATGGGAAGCCACACATTTTTGAGCAGTTTCTCGGTGAGGGGCCTCACCATTGGCAGGGATGTAGCCCAGTGTGTTTTATTTTTCCTAAGTTTAGTTGTTGTCTATGCTGTTGTGTTCCTTGTTTTTGCTGGGTGTTGCTGCAACTGAATTGGTAGCTTAGCCACTATTTTGCAGCTCTCCGCAACGGCCTGGAACTGGTAGCCCTCCACAATGCCCTGGGGCCGATACCACACACAATGTGATGGAGAACATTCTGTAGATTCTGCAGTGTGGTAGTGAGAAGGAAATGTCTTCAAAGAAACTACTTCTTAACGCTAGATAACAAATATCCATGGTTCTTTTTAACAATATTATTTACAGTAGAACTCTGATAATGTTGTGGGATTGGTGGCTCTTCAGTATCTCACAATGCTGGAATGCTGCCAATAGTACTTTAAATATGAAAATCAGCCAATTTATCACATCCCTTCACCACTTAACATGCTATATGTCTGATGAAAGTTTTTCAGAAGCGCATTTTTCAGGTTTAATATTTATTTTTATTGTGTATTTTAAAACCAAAACCAGAATAGTTAAGGGAAAGGGAAACATATAATAGTATAAAATAAGTGGTAGCAACGCTCCTTCATGAAACTTAAGCAAATAAATTATGAATACAAATATACTATATACCATTACATGTATTGCGTAGCAAGAGATACCACTATTATTAAAGATAAGAATGCATATGTTTCAACAAAGGCAGCCTAAAACAACCTGTTAAAAAGATGCATGTTTCATCAGGTCTTACACACTGTGTTATTGCAGGTGCCCATTAATCCCTCCAATGTTATAACTATAGTCTTTTTGCTGCCAAATGGATATGAAGAATCCACTTACAGTAATTATGTTTTACATAGTTTTAAATTCTAAAAGAATTGTAGATAGTTAAGAAGAATATGCAGATCTGTAAATATTAAAGAACACTGAATTACAAAATTTATCTAATATATTTCCTCCCCCCAAAGCAAACAGCCATTGCCAAAGATTACTGAAACATATTCATATGAGTAAGAGAAGCGTTAGCTGAATTGTACCTCCAACAATTATCCAATGTAATTAGGCCCTTAGTGAAAAGACAGTGTAGCATCCAATATATCCAGGCTGTATCTATTCTATGTTTAATGCAACCAAATCGACAACCAATCCCACATTTTCAGCCTCCTGTTTTGTTTTTTAATAAAGCCCACCTAACCCAGTTGGACTAATATTGTAATACTTGCTGTAGTATATCAGCCAAAATTGCAATTAATATTTTAATATCTACTTTAATCAATTACACAGGTCAGTAATTAGCACAAGAGTGGTTTCATTGGGTTTAGAAATTGCAGTAATATAAGTGCCGCTAAGTGCAGATGAAAAAGAACCCAATTCAAAAACAAAATTACCCAAATGATGAAGTTTAGGAACTAAAAAGCTAGAAAATGTCTTATGCTGCTCAACTGGAAATCTATCCAGACCTGGCAATTTTCCTATTTTCCTATTAGTTATTGCTTTTGCAATTTCCCTAAAATGCAAAGACGTCATTAAAGACTGCTTTTGTAAAGTATCTAAACAGAAAAGGGTAACATAAGAAAAGAAGGCTTCTATATTCTGATCTGATATTTCACAGACTTTACTATACAATTCTAAGCAAAAACTTTAAGAATTGGAAATTTATGGATGTGAATGTATCTGAGCATTGTCTTTCAATGGCAAAATAATATCTAGATGTGTGTCAAAAACAAGCTAATGCAAATACAATCCTTCTGTGAATGAATGTTATTAAACTAATATTTAACATCCTGTATGCCCTGATAAGGTGGTGCAATTGGAAAAGTAGTCAACTGAGTTACAAGCTTTTCCAATTATTGATTTTGTTTCTCCCTTTTTAATTTATTTTTATGGAAACATAAATGATAATTCAGACCAGGACAGAACTTTACTAGCTCCCTGTCAGTAGAGCATGAGCTGGCTGTCAGTAGGGCAAATTTAGCCATAGAGGCCTGAACAGCAAGTCTCACTACTGTTGGCCTCTGGGCAGCCAGTGTATTTCTACCCAGGAGAAGGTTTAAGCTCTCAAGTCCCCTGCTCGCCTGCACAACCAAATAGTCATGTGTCCTATCAAGCACTTTACTTATGTATTTAATTTCAACCCCTGCCCCTTAGCAAGAAAGTATCATTGACCCCATGCTATTCAAAACAGTTATTTTCTCATTGTCTTTTCTTGTCACAGTCAATGACAAGCCATGAGGAACAACAATAGTCTGTGGAAATGAAATGAACGTTGTTTCTGGGTTAAATTTGCGACACACTCATGTCTATTACATAAGCCTCTGCCGCCCAGTCTCTTGTCAGCTGATGTTCATTTGTTGTCATCGGGCACACTCTTGCAGAAAAGCTGTCCCTGGTGCCATGTTGCTTTGCTTTGCTTTGCTTTCTTTGGAAAGCACTTCCCTCTGTTTATTTGTGCAGCCCCTTCACGTTTCAAACAGGTTTGCATCCTCTATTTTTATCTCCTTTATTCACTATTGGTCAGGACATTATTCATTATTATTCAGTGCATGGGTGGGCACAACAGGGCTTGTGTATCAAATCCTGATTCTGATTAATTCAATTAATCAGAAATATGAAATATGTGGAAGGTATAGTTTAAATTTACCAATAAACTCTTCACACAGCATGCTACAGATATTTGTGTTTTCTTACTTCAGTTTATATAAGTTTTTTATCACAGCCTTTTCTTTCTGATTCTAAAAGTCGCCTGGGATGAACTGATAACTTTGAGCAACTGTGAAAAGTGACAAGGTAACCGAATAAAAACAAAACCTGTTTAGACATCTTCCTGACTGGCTTCCTTGGCAAGATCATTAGGCACAGACCTGCATAAATAAGATGGAGGCAGTGGGGATGGGGGTGGTTTGTCTAATGTATTTCAAGATCATGTTGCCCAACTATTAAGCAAAAGGAATCACTGTGTTTACAGAAAACACTTAAAATCTCACTTTGTAGATTTCTGGCCATATATAGTTCTGCTAGTTAATGGAAAAGAGTGGGGTGTGATAATGCCTGGAATTTTATACAGATTTACCTGGGGACAAGTCACATTAACTCAACTGGACTTTTTTATGAATAGCTGCACAGAAGATTACATGGTGCATATCTAAAGGGTACAAATGACCAATAGTCTATCTGGATAGAGTCAGAGCCGAGCAAAACTATTTATTTCTCCAAAAAACCCCAAAATCTTCTTATTTCCAAACAACACTTGGGAGCGAGGAGAAGGCTGTGAAACAAAAATCTCCACCCATTCAAGGTGAAGTCAGGATGTATTACCCTCATTCTGATTTGCCTTTGTGGCCCCATCATTTAAGTCAAATCTGGCTGCTTGCATGGTGACGCGACATCATCACATTGCCTCTTGGTGCCTGCTCAGCTGTGATTGCCTCATAAAGCTGCCTCTGTCGTTTTAAAGGAAATGTCTATTTCCTATGCGAGACTGAAAAGAGGTCAATGCAGTCATGACAATCATCACACCAAGACGAACAAGGGGCACTTTTCACATGTGTTGTTCCAGGGTCTTACAGGCTCTCTGCTTCCCCTTCTCTTTCTGTATTGGCTATGCCTACTGTAGTCACTATTTATTTTCCTCGATACGTTTAAGAACCTGGAGTGATTCTTCTCAAGTTCATTGCTGACAATAATCTGCATTCATGGCTCATCCTGTCTGGGCAGTGTTCCTTTGTCCAGGTTCATTGCTGGTGCCCACTTCTTTTCCTGTTCCTCCCACTTCTGCCCCAGCCATCTCTGGTGAACTAACCCTAATTTCCCTGAAGCAACATAGATTCGAGCCACAATGAAGGAGTTTGTTTGGACCCATTTCTTTGATATCTCTGGACTTGATCCGTCTAGGGCTTCATAAGCACAGGTATTACAGCTGGATCCTGAGATTGTTCATAAAAGCAATTCTTAACATAGAATATTCAATAACGATAGAAGTTTGCAATATTATTCAGCTTGTTGACATGACAGTGCAAGGAGTGGTGGGAAGATGCATAGGTAATAATAGCTATTGGTTGCATGTATACATCTTAAAGAAATATAATGATAAGCATGTATGTTTGTAACAACACTAAGCCACTTACTGGAACGAGGAATTTTTTAATTTCTTCTAAGGCATGACTCATCCGTGAATATGCTTCTCCGGGTGGGGCAAACACTTCAATTAATACATGTAGTTCATCACTCAAGTGTGCGTATTTGGCTTCCCCACTCTTCCTTAGTTCTTCTTCCTGTGGAAGAGAGTATTTTTAGAAATGGAAATCTATTCACTTTGCACTGATTTAGCATTTACAGAGAACATGACAAAAGGGCATAATCTAGGCAGACTTTCAGCAAAATGAGGTCCTTTGAGAGGCAACACATTCTGGTATAAATTACTTGAAGATCTGAAAATCACTTTTGAGTGTTTGAATGATAAAAACTAGCATAATTAACATCTACAACAGATTTTAATCAGCAAAGAAGAAAAGTGAAATACTTCATAGGAATGTGTTGAAATTTCATGATAATGCAGAAACTCCCACTGAAAAGAGGAGAGCTTGTTCAGATAGGTTTTTTTCTGAAGTGGCTGACACTATGAATTCTGTAAACTAATAAGATATGGATAATATCACGTAAATCCAGAAAATTGATGTATGAGAGGAAATGGGATTATTCATAAAGAAGGGGCCCTCTGGATGTGGCGCTGCACGCAGAAAGGTGCTTGCGAGGTGTGCAACTGGTGTCACATTTGAAAACTGAAAGATCATCCACTGGGGTGAATGGGATCCGCTTGCTTGGACAAGCAATAGTAAAAACTTCTAGTAAGCTGCTTAAAACTAAATAAAGACATATGAAACATTGGCCACAATGAAGAGTTTCCTTGTAATGCATTGGGAACCATATTGTATTTTTGGTCACACCCTATTGTATTGTGTTCTCGTATTTTTTAATGGTGGTTATAGATTCACTCTGCTCAGGTGGGATGATTCCAAAAATGTGCTTTCCCTCTCAGTTGTCACCCCTCTTCAGCACAGGAAATCCCTGCACATAGTACCGTGTACATAAGAAGGAATGGGGCAGAACCAGGAAACTCCAGATACAGATAAACTCAGTACCACCTAGTGCCTGTAACACAATCTATGCATCATCCCCCTTTGGCTTAAAGGAAAAACAATTAAAGGTCTGTGGTTAAAACCTAGTCCTGAACAAAGGAAGGCAGGGCTTCCAGTTCCGATTTTTCACTGCAATATTACAACTTTATTAGAGAGTCTCAGCAACTACTCTGGAGTAAGTGGGTTAAAATTATAAGCTAACATTCCTTGAATAATTCATGTTTGTTGTTTGTTTGAGTAATTGCTTTTCCACTTACCAATATATTGCTCAAACAAAGTAGCTAACAACATTCAACGCATAATGAAACAATAACAATTAAACAATTAAAATGCTGAAAAAACAGAAGAACCATAGGGGACAATTAAAAGCAGCAGAATCTTAAAATATCAACATCAAGAGAAAGTTCATCTGAAGAAAATTGTCTTCAGCTGGGAGCAGAATAGAAGTAAAGAGGAACAAATGAACCTCCTGCAAGAAAATTTTATGACTGGAGACAGCTACAGAAAATGTCCTCTTACACATCCCAATTAAGCTACCATCTACCCATGTAGGGATGCAAAGAAGGTGCTTTGTATCAGATCTTGGAGTGCAGGCAAGCTGATGTGGGAGAAGAGGTATTGCAACCCTGTTCTATCTGTAAAGCAGAGTGTGATGTACGTGCTATTTATCTCCTGGGAACACAGAACCACAGAGTTAGAACGTACCTCAAATATCATCTGGTCCAACCTACTCCTGCTATAAGAAATCCACTACTACAGCTATTCATTACATTTATATCCCAGTGTTTCCTCTAAGGAGCTCGAAGTGACATACACTGAGGATGATATCCATCCTCACAACAATCCTATATGTAGGCTAGGCCATGAGTTAGTGGACCCAGAGTCCCAAAGTTGTTCAGTGTGCTTCATGGCCTAGTCTCCCATGTCCCAGATCAATACTATCACCATCACACCCCTGCAAATAGGTAGCCATCCACCTTCTGCTTAACAACCTCTAACAATGAAGAAACCAACATAATACAAGGCAAACTGTTTCACTGCTGAGCACTATTCCTAACTGTGTGATGAGGTATTGGGGCCTCGAGCAGCTCAGGTTCTGATCCCTTCAATTGACTTTGGCCTAATTACAAATACTTTTTCTCTTGCAAGTTGCAGAAAAATGATGTAAGAACATGACACACCGATGGTCTAATACAGGAATGTAAGTCCATATGGCTAAATACACGCACGTGCACCTTAGCAGGGATGCTGTTATGTTTGAGGGCCCGGTGGGCATCCGTTCTCTTTCGCCTGCTTTCAAACAGGCCCTCAAAACAAAGTGCTGTACAAACTGATTCTGAGGCTATAGCTGCACAACATTTTCATTTAAGTTATTTTCCTTCAGTGAACTGGAAGCATCCTCCATCAATGACATGTACCTTTGGGATCATAAAGCAAATTAGGACCCTAGAGAAGCAAATGGGTTTACTGATACTCCTAGTTTGCCTGTGTGCTTGTTGCTCACTGAACAAAAACATGTGGAGAACTTGTTTTCCATAAAATCGCATGCAGCCCTGGGTGCCGGACTTCTCTGACTAGCATGTCATGTCTTCTCAGCGCAAGCAGCTCCGTGAAGAACCTCTGTGCTGCCACTGGAATGCAGGGTCCCAGATTTCTACCAGTGTCAATGGTACCATTGCAGAGTAGAGGTTTTGCCCTTTCACAATACGTATTTTTTTTTTAAAAATAGCTAGATACCCTCCCACCCTAAATGCAATCTCCATACTAGACTCAAGGCAGATAAGAGTCATCATTAAAATCTTAAATCAACATCTCAACTGAAATTTACCCCCTTCTCAAAGTGGGTTTCTATAATGATCAATACTTTTATCATGTTTAATTATTTGATTTATATATATTTCCACAATAAAGCTCTGAGCACCTTTCCCCACCAAAACATCAAGGGTACAATCCTATGCATGTCTGTACAGGTACCAGCATTCCCC